AAAAGAACGAACTGGGGAGGAGGGTTAGAGAAAACAGTGCAACAATGAATGAATGAAAACCCCAAATCTCTGTAAATGTTCATTAAAATTAATAAAATTTAATAAAAAACAAACAAACAAAAAAAAAAAAGAAAAGAGTACCAGAGGAATTTCTATTTGTGTTTCATTGACAATGCAAAGGTATTTGCCTGTGTAGATCACAATAAACTGTGGCTGACTCTGAGAAGAATGGGAATCCCAGAACATTTGATTGTGCTTACACGAAGCCTATACTTGGACCGGAGGCAGTCATCAGAAAAGAGCAAGGAGACCCTGCATGGTTAAAAATCAGAAAGGGTGTCCACCAGAGATATATTCTGTCTCTAGACCTTGCCAATCTATTTGCAGAACAAATCATCTGGGAGGCTGGGCTCTATGAGGAGGGATATGGCATCAGGACTGGAGGAAGACTCATCATCAGCCAACATTATGCAGATGATACAACCTTGCTTGTTGAAACTGAGGAGGACCGGAAGTGCTTGCTGCAGAAGGTCAAGGACTGCAGCCTTCAGTATAGACTGAAGCTCAACATCAAGAAAATAAAGATTCTCACCACTGATTGAGATTATTAACAGCATTAGTTTGCTTGGCTCCACAATCAACACTCTTGGTACCAGCAGCCAGAAAATCAAGAGACAAATTGCATTGGGAAAGTCAGCTGTCAGGGACCTCTCCAAAGTCCTGAAGAGCAATGACATCAATCTGGGGACTAAGGTGCACCTGATCCAGGCCAATTGCTTGCTATGTGTCAGAGAGCTAGACAATGACTAGGGATGTTAGAAAGAGAATTGATGCCCTTGAGCTGTGGTGCTGGAGCAGAGTGTTGAATATACCATGGTCTGCCAGGAGAACAAATAGGATAATCCTAGAGAGGGTAAAGCCAGCCTGCTCCTTGGAGGCAAGGATCTGAGGCTTAGTCTGACATACTTAGGGCAAGGTGCAAGGGTGGACCAGTCCTTGGAGAGGAACGCCATGCTTTGAGGGGTGGAGAGACAGAGAAAGAGAGGGAGACCATCGATGAGATGGACTGATACAGTGACTGGGGTAAGGATGGTAGGTGTGTCAGATATAGTAAAGCTGGCGCAGGATAGAGCAGGTTTCAGAGCTGTTGTACATAGGGTTGCTATGAGTCATAAGCAACTCAACACCACATAACAACAACGCCTATGATATAGATCTTCAAATGTTGAATTTCAGGATGAAGGTAGTTTAAATAAATGCTGGGTATCCATTTTAGCCATAATCTAACAATAAATTAAGTGATTCCATTTCTCCATAAAGAATGCTAAGTGTCCACAAATTCTGTGATGTTGCTTATTAGGTCAAGTTCAACAAAAATGTATTAGATATCCTCCATGTGTCAAGTGCCATCCTAAAATCTACTACAAACCATGGGGAGAAAAGGGTACATTAAAAAGCAGTAACAGAGGTACAAAGACTATCTTACCTGTAAGGTAAAGGTCGGCCTCCACACCCTGCAGAACACTGCTCCCAGAACCAGCACACAGGGCCACAACTCTGACTTGGGACTCTTCAAAGTAATGGAGAAGAAGACCATGTCTTAAAATTCTCTTATAATATTTTAATTTGTACACAGAATCCAGAATGAAACGCAGATTACATTCCTAGTCACATGACCAGTATGTGAATTTGCTAATTTTTAAACATTTTTAAATGTGGGTATCTTTGGTATTACATTAACTGTCCCAAAGCAGCATTAGTATTCCTCTGGACAAGGCTACACAGATCCACATCAGGCAGCCAGTGAGCAGTGCTAATGCCTCAGCTCTTAGGCTTTATTGTCATACTGTTGCTGAGCGAAGTAACTCAACCTGGGGTCCAGACAACAGAGCCAGGCTGCTACTGTCTAGTCTCAGGGGAGGAACATGAGGAACACAAAACATGCATCAGAAAGAGGACTACTAGGACATGATTTAGCACATAATTTTTAATCGAATATTTATCCTCAAAGAGGCTCTTCTGAAGAGTGACAGAAGTTAACAGAAAATTCAAGCCAAAATCCAACAAGGCCTCAGCATGTAGGTTTCTTGGATGCCCTTCATGAGTGCTCACTCCACTTTTACACCCTGGTACTTCAAAAAAAAGGAGGACCTGCGCCGCGACCCCCGCACCCTGCGCACATGGCGCTGCGAGCCTCGCGGAGTGTGCGTGCGCTCTCGGCGTCCAGCGCGCCCTGCCCGGCGCGGCGCTGGGGACCCGGGCCGGGCGCTCTGCTCGCAGTGCGTAAGTTCACAGACAAACATGAATGGGTGACGACAGAAAATGGTGTTGGAACAGTGGGAATCAGCAATTTTGCACAGGAAGCTTTGGGAGATGTTGTTTACAGTAGTCTTCCTGAAGTTGGGACAAAGTTGAACAAAGAAGATGAGTTTGGTGCTCTGGAAAGTGTGAAAGCTGCTAGTGAACTCTATTCTCCTTTATCAGGAGAAGTGACAGAGGTTAATGAAGCTCTTTCCGAAAACCCAGGACTTGTTAATAAGTCTTGTTAAGAAGATGGTTGGCTGATCAAGATGACACTGAGTAATCCTTCAGAACTTGATGAACTAATGAGTGAAGAAGCCTATGAAAAATACATAAAATCCATTGAAGAGTGAAAACAAAACCACTAAAAGTAGTCATCTAAAACAACTTATTCCAGCATTGCTGTCCTAAATTAGTAGGGGTTGAATTAAAGCAGCTTTTAGCAAAACAT